GTGTACAATATCAGCAATTGCTATTGCTGAAACATCCTTTATTCATAGCAAAGACGGATGGAAAATGACAGCTATAGAATGACTGTCTGATTCCACTGAATAGGAATCAAAGCGAATCCACAAAGCGTTCTTCTAGTTATAAATAAAGATCCGCTATGGCTGTTTTCTCTGGATGAAACACAAGCCTGCGCTGAGATCCTTCCTATGCAAAGTGTTCTCACCATTCTTTTTGAAATGCAAAACAAAAAGAAACAAGTATAATGTGCTCCATTTTTCATAAGCTACTGCAGCGTGCACTGACTGGGTTTTATATAACCACTGATTGAATGCAATGGGAACATACAGAACTGTTGCTGTATGGTGAAGCCTGCTCTGATGATTCAGTCTGGCTTCAGAGTCCCAGCAGTAAACCCAATAATCTCTTTAACGGAGCTTTCCAAAACATCTTCTCCCCTGATAAATATTACTGGATCTCAGAACATTTTCTCACATCTCCCACACACTCGCATATCAAACTGCAAAAATGACCAACAAGTGGTCCAATACAAATAAACAAGTTCTGCTCTGAGATTCTCACACGAGATTAGTCAGTCTGAAGGGTCATTAGATGATTCTCATGAGAGCTCATCAGATGCACGTCACAAAACCAGAAGTCATTTGGTGGGGTGGCAGGAAGCTCATTAAAGCATATTTATGCTCCAGAATCAGCAATTGGGCACAGGAGCCTGTGTTATTTAAAGAAAAAGGCCAGCAGATGCAAAACGTCAACATAATGGAAATTCTTGGCTGCCAAGGTGAGAGTTCAAGATTTATTTCACATCTGGGAGGCTGTTTTGAAGAGAAAAGGCTGAGCAGACATATCCGGCATTCTTTGCACTGTTGTAAGGAAAACAAACTGCTTTACAACAAAACAAGAGAGAAATATTCTTCCTAGATTTCTTGTCAAATCCACATGCATTCAAGGCACTTCAAAGTGTCTGACTGAGTGAAATATTGTGCTGTGTGTCAATGACAGATGCCAATGACACAAAATTAGATGCTAAAGCACAGCACAGGTGGCACTGACATACAGTAGAAAACATGATTCAAAATCTTTTATGTAAGCTACAGTAGAAAAGTAAATTGGGTCAGATCCTCTAAACAAGTCACAGCTGTCATTCACAGCCACAGGCTTTCGTCACCTCAGCCTGCCAACTCCTAATAAATTAATTCTGTTAGCTTTTTTTGCATCTAATGGCTGTCAATGTGAACCTTATACTGAGAAGCATAGGACAGCATCAGTAAAATTGAGTTGGTGAGTGAAATCTATTAGTCAAACTTGACTTTAATAAAAATATACAGTATAATATATATATTATATATATATATAAATTGCTAAAAATACTTGCAAATGTGCTTGTCACAGTGTTTATTGAAGGGACAATTTACCCAAAAAATGAAAATTATGTCATCATTTACTCACCCTTAAATTGTTATAAACCTGTATTCTGCGGAACACAACATATATTTAAGATATTTTGGAAGATAATGTGGTAACCAAACAGGTTTTTGACTATTAACTTCTATTGTATGGACAAAAAACAGAGACATCTCAAAATATCTTCATGTTCCACATACGAAATAAAGGCAATAAGTATTCTGGAGCAACATAAGGGTGAGTAAATTAACTATTCCTTTAAAACATCACAAATATGCTGCAATAGTGTCTTACCATTTGATTTGTTTGGCTCCCATTTCGGCACTCTCTAAAACTCTCTAGCCCTCTGCACCACGTTTATTCATCCATAGACCATAAGGAAGTCTAGACATCAGCATCGTTCTTACAGAAAACTTCTTTAGAGTCCTGCTTCAGCATGCAGTGTCTACAGCATTACCACTCGTTTGCTAACTAGCTCCTCTTAATCACCATGCTTGTAACTGACAGCGGATCCTATCTGTGAGTTCAAAGCCTCTTCAGATGCACCTGACGTTGTCCATATGGAAATCCTGTTTTCAATCCGTCCACGGTGACAGGAGAGAGTGGCACTGCTCTGTTACCAAGGCAGCTGCATCCTGCTCCCCTCCTCTCCGGCTGTGAGTTGGGCTAATTATTCTTCTCAGTTCAACCTGTTCACAGACGACTCCTTCACTTCAGAAAGCTCTCCATCGCTGAGATCCGTGTGTCCCTGTCTAGTTCTCGCGCTCCCTCCCTCACTAGCTCCTCTTTTTCTGTGCGGAGATGTTAGACTCAGTCCGGCCTTCCTCTGTTTACCCTCCCCCTCCAACCCTCCCTCTATTTCGTCTTCTCTCTCTCTGTCCTGCCTCTCTCCCCATCTGTTAGGACTGGTATTTTGACGGAGGGGGAGCTGGTACAGGACTGTCTGGCTTGTAGGTGGGCTCAGATCTGCTCTGGACAGTTTACTACAGCATAATGCATTTCTGATTTAACAACATTCACACAACTTTTCTTTCACAGAGGGTAGGCATAAAATAATCACAAAATTGCTATAATTACATAGGATTAGATAACATAACATTGTGTACATGCTTCAAAAGTTTGGGATAATTTGGGGTAATTTTTTTATGTTTTTGAAGTTTCACAATTTGAGTTGAATTACTGAAATAAATGAACTTTTCCACGACATTCTAATTTATTGAGATGCACCTGTAATAATTTCAGAAACAAAAATATTGTGAAATATTACTACAGTTTAAAAGATCTGTTTTCCTTTTTAATATATTTTAAAATGTCATTTATTCCTGTGATGGCAAAGCTGAATTTTCAGCAGCCATTACTCCAGTCTTCATTGTCACATGATCTTTCAGAAATCATTCTAACATGCTAATTTGGTGCTCAGGAAACTTTTCTTTATATTAACAATTTTGAAAACAATGCTGCTTAATATTTGTGTGAAAAACCACAATACATTTTTAGGATTATTTGATGAATGGAAATTTCCAAAGAACAGTAATTTTTTGTAACAATATAGAACTCTTTGCTGTCATTTGATCAAATTAATGCCTCTTTGCTGAATAAATGGTGTAGTGTACTTTTAACACAACATTCAAGTATTTGGTTTTCTTTTACAGAGGATGGGCATATTAGCTAATATTATTTAATTATGCACAATAAATGTGCACAATATGTAAACAAGTTGTTTCACTTAAAATTCTAACAGTATTTGAGAAGAAAAAAAAAAAAAAAGGTGTATTGTCCATTGATTGGGCTGCTGGTAGATTTTGTAAATGATTGAAAGGAGAGCAGACACAGACCTAGGCTGATTTATCAGCCAAGCTGATATATTTGTCTGTCACTACTCTTTATTAAATAGTACTGTGAAAAGAGAACTGAATAGTACTGTGGTAGAGAGAACAGAATATGTTTGTGACATTGTGTAATCCAAAATTGAATGAGCACTGCAACCTCTCTGACAGAATGGAAATCTAAAATGATCTCTGCGCAAATCAATAAAGGTGGACAACATATGCACAATGCAAACAAAATGCTGTCTATCATGGCAGAAAAAAAACTGTTCTGTGTATATGGATTGCAGAGGTATCAGAAATACCAACCTCGTAAGAAAATAAAGAACAATCTGCTGAGAATCACTATAGTGAGATCGTCAATTGTTCTCCTTACAATCTATACATTAAATGGTCAATAACAATTTTAACAATTTATAAAAGCATTTAAGTTTAAGCATGACACAAATGTATCCTCATCTTGAGTCTTGACCCTTATAACCACTGTGAATGCCTCTTACCTAACCTTCAGGGCAGTGATCTATCCAGATCTGTCAAGTTAACACTGATCAAATGCCTCTTAATTTCAGTCCAAGTCACTGATCTGACAAGGTCCAAGAATGGTTTCTTACATAACACTTTTAAAAACATTTCAAGACATCTGCAAAACAAGAATTAATGACTAAGCGTACAAATGATGTTCCTTTGGATAATCAAGGTACTGAATCAGCTCTTCCAAATAGAATCATAGCTGATGCCTCACATAAAAGAACAGTCACAAGTTTTCTGGTCTTCAGTGGCAAAGCATGATGATGCCTTAAAGAAAGCCAGTGGGCAGGAAAATCTCAGGCCTTACAAAACAAGCAGTGAGAAAATCCTTGTGACAGCCTCCTCCAGCCTATCTATGTGTTCTACTCTCATAAAAGCAGAGAGAATGAAGAAGAAGTTTGTGATAACATGTTTGTGTATATTTTGTAACTAAGAGATGGGGTGAAAACCGATGACACCCTGCAATGACAAACTGATTGGTTCCAAGAGCTGTTTTGCAAAACTGAAGCAAATTATTCACAGCTGAATGCATTCTTAACTTACAAGCTTATATTTACATTTACATTTACATTTACATTTAGTCATTTAGCAGACGCTTTTATCCAAAGCGACTTACAAATGAGGACAATAAAAGCAGTCAAAACTAACAAAAGAGCAACAATATATAAGTGCAAATGACAAGTCTCGGTTAGCCTAACGCAGTACACGTAGCAAGGTGTATATATATATTATACACACACACACACACACACACAAAGAAAAACAAGTAGATAGAATAGAAAAAATAGAAAGCTAGTGTATAAAATAAAAAAATAAAAAAGATAAATATAGATAAAGTAGAATTAAAATAGAATAGAAAGTGTTAGAGTTAGAGGGTCTCTTATATCTACATCAGCACCTTTTTGTCTATTTATATGCATTTTCACTAATGTTTTGTTTAGTGATTTTGATTAAATGCTTTTAATGCATCTTAAATATTCATTTTGAAACTGTCCAATTTCTCATTATCTTATTTCTTTCAGTACTTAGAATTATGTAAATGTTACGATTCACATTTGCAGCTTTATTAGCTTTTCCAAAGAAGTTGGTTCCAACAATTCAATTTTTTAAGATGACTTTTGAAAGAAGATCCAAAATATCTTCTGTATATTCAAACTATTAGTTAATTCTGTTTGAAGTAATATAGAGACTAGCTGCATTCTATTTACCCATCAATATTCAGAATTTACCCAGTAGATCTTGCTCCTGTCTCCTCTTCAAATGTCTCTTTCTGCCCCTCGTACTGCTGAACCAATTCCCGGACACTCCAGCAGGGGTTCTCACCATCCTCCTCACCACTGCAGCAACGACTAAGAGTATACAAAAATAATACAGAGAGATTAGAAATGGTAAAAAGCTGTTTCAAGGATGGATGATCTTTTCATGTGTAAACTAAATGGGTTAACAACTCTCTCTGAATACATATTTTGAATCATTCCGCACTGTTTCAGGCTTACATAAAATATTTCCAAAAGCTCCAACAGAGCACATTAGAGATTATTGCTAGGGGGGACACAAAATCTTAAATTGTGGATGAAACATATGTTTATATTTGCAGATCTGATTATCCATATGCTACCTCTGATTGGAGCTGCAATTCCAACTGACAGCAGCAAGAGGGCAATGATTCATCCGTTTTATTTTGTCATCATTTACTGTATGTGACTTTATTTCTTCTTTGAAACACAAAAGGAGAACTACTAGCACTAATACTTGAAATCAAACAGACCAGAATTTATGTTTTCACTGATAACATTTCACCGGTTTTGTGAACTGAATCAAATGAATCTTAAGAAAGACCCAACTTAAGAAGACGATTTGTTCATAACCTGGACATAGTTATTTCTCTCATGAACTTTTAATGAAAGCACCAATGAGAGCTGGGTTGGATGTCAGGATTTTCACTGAATAATGACTTCTATTCCAGCCTGTTCCACAAAGTTATCCAACCACATGAGGGTCAGTAAATGACAAAACTTTTTTTTGGATGAATCTTTTTTTGGATCTTTTAAGCAAAGCTAATGGACCCTCTTCAAATCAGAAGGAGATTTAAGAGCAGTTGCTCTATGGAAGCAGATCTACTTAAATGAATAAACATTTACAAAACTCTTTTGAAGGAGGAAAAGGAGATTAAGGGCAAAATGAAGCTACATGTACCTCCATTCTTGCCTTAGATGAAAAACAGAGCGGCCAGGGCGAGAGGCATCCTGCCTGGCTGCTGCCAATGCTGCTGCTGCATTCTGGGCCATGGCCATGGTGGAATGAGGCCTGTGATTGGTCGAGGAGCCAGTGGAACTCCTGCCTAAGCCAGCTCCAGCTCTGTGACTGGCTGATGCGGAGGGTTTAAAATGTGCAGCTAGAGCGAGGATGAGCCTCATGGCGGATTTGAGGTTCCCTTCCACAATGTCTTTGAGTACAGAGAGAAAGAGTAGATCTTAAATAAGTAGCTTTATCAGCTTAACCATGAGTAAGAGCCTGCTTTGTAACTCACCCCTGGCAGATGTCTGAGGCATTCTGATCCGTTTGGATGACACAAACTGCAGAACCTTCTCCACATTCTGCTTCCTCTCCTGGTCGTCACGTGGCACATAATGAAGGCCATCCAGCAGCTCACCAGCTTGCCAAATATATAAAACGCATCTCAATAAAAAGGCTTATTATACAGTGCTGCAATAAAAATGGAATAAGATGTATTGTACAGGCTTACCCACTATCTCAATGAGGTGTGCTAGAACCACACCATCTCTGAGATCCTGTCGTAGATCACTCACAGGTTTCAGTTCAGGCTTCTTTCTCAGCTGTGCATTAACCCAAGACACATAGGCAGCCAGTTGCTGCTAAAACGACAAACATTTCATACAGGTAAGTGCAAACTTGGTTATAGTCTACAGCTCAAGAGCACATTGTACTTCTGATTTTTTTGCTTTCAAATATTTTATTGCTATTTGACGGTTATATTATATGGCTGCTTTTATTTGGTCAAAAATATAGTAAAAAATATATATTATAAAGCAAATACAGTGAAATATTGCAATTTAAAATAACTTTTATTTGAATTTTAAAATGCAATTTATTTCTATGATTGCAAAGCTGAATTTTTAGCAGTCATTACTCCAGTCTTCAATGTCACATGATCATTCAGAAATCATTCTAATATGCTGGTTTCGCTGATCAAGAAACATTTATTTTTTATCAATGTTGAAAATAATTGTGCTGCTTAATATTCTTCTGGAAACTGTAATACATTTTATTTCAGGATTCTTTGATGAGTGGAAATATCAAAAGAACAGCATTAAACCGTCAAACTTTTGAACAGGACTGTGTGTGCATGTATGTATGTGTGTAATATATATATATGCATGTATAGAAAATTTGCAACTAGCTGGACATTATATAGCTGCTACTTCCACCTTTTCCTGGATTTACTGATGCTTCCAAAATGGACATTTTTGCAATTTAAACAAAACCTCATCTATGCTAGTCACAGTATCGGGTTATTTTCCTCAGGCTGTCATACAGCTTAAGCACAAATCACAAGTCTCAATGGAGCCAATGACTCTATGTGCTGTTAAACTGCATACCTCCCTGGAAAGACAGTTATCATTAGTGCTGATGGTCCTGATGGAGAGGTTATGCAGGATATGCCTGTGTTGATACCCACTAGGATACCCATTGTCAAAAGAAATTTATGCCTCAGTGATCAAGATGCACCTGCTTTGACAGAACAAGTCCCTCCTCATTCACCCCGGCTGGTCAGCATCACCCGGGTTCAACGGCGTGGATTAGGCTGACTTGCACTTTCTCTGCCATGTCACAAAAGGACAGCTTAACTCCCCACATTCACACTTCCTCTTCAGCAAATAAATGTAGGAACACAAAGACTGCAGTGAGGTTTGCCGCAGTTCTACCCTCTGGCAAAAGTGCTGCGCTCTAAACAAATTTTTTTCCCCCCTTAAATGCTGAAGAATGTGAAACTGAAGTTTTGGAGTAAATAAAACAAAAAATGCAGTTTTGGATATTCTGAGCTTTTCTTTTAAACAATTCTCATATGTGACATACACTACTATTTAAACAGATCTATTTAAAAAGATCAGTAAGATATAGATTTTTGAAAGATATGCATTTTTTTTTTATTCAGCAAGGATGCATTAATTTTATCAAAAGTGACAGTTAAGATTTTTTAATGTTATAAAAGAGTTCGGTTTCAAATAAATGCTGTTCTTTTCAACTTCCTATTCTTCAAATATATCATGTATCACGGCTTCCACAAAAATATTAAGCAGCACAACAACATTGATAATAATAAGCATGTTTCTTGTGCACTACATCAGCATAGAAGAATATAAGACTTCTTTCGAAAACATTAAAAAACCTTACAGACTCCAAACATTTGAATGGTAGTGCATGACAGAAATTGAACATGCATGACATCAAGTGTCACACCCTTACAAAACACACTCTGCTATTCATCTGGAAGACTGTGGGGAAATCTTTCATGGGCCTCAATCTCCGAAGCAACGTCGAGTTCACATCATATGCCAACACGTGCACAGTCAAGAAAAACACATGCACACCAAAATAAAGAAAACAAAATGAGCTCTGCATGTTTTTCACGAGGGATCTTCTTGCACACAGTAGCATTTATTGATTTGCCACATGGTGGGCTGACTAACACAATGCAAGCTCTGTCTGAAGCATATCTGTCTCTCTATAATCTAACAGTGGCCCAGAGTGACAGGCTTCCCAGTAAGAACAGCTAACACTGAGAGCTTTCAGCACAGATGCACTACAAGATGCTGACTGTGCTGTAAAACTGGAAGGTAGCAATAGTCCTGCGCAGCCAGCTTTACAAAGGAGCTATCTGTTCCAACAGCGACCCGACAGACGGGTACATCTCCATCACTGGAGTCTGCTGTATTCTCACCTTTAATCTAGGTGGACCTGAAATATCTGTAGAGATTGAGACAGCTGGGATTCATAACAAAAAAATCAATAATGGTTTGAGAACAGTGCTTGATGGTTTAATGGTTACAGCCTGAGGGCATACAGATGTAGAAGCACTCTGTCTTAGGTAACATCAGTAGGGGATGACTGCCGATAGTGCACACGGTTACAGAAATGGTGTAATATGCTTAACACCTCCTCCCACACTTAGCACCATTTTAGCTGACTACATGTACAGCACAATGGCTGACTGTGTCTCAAAGCTTAGCATGCTGCCCAAAAATAGTCAAGGTTAGCAGCTCACTAAAAAAAATTATTTGTTTGCATTAGTAGGACTGTGTATCACATTATTTAACAGCTATCAAGGCTATCCTTTTCTCTGTTTGGACCGTTACTGGCATTTTACTGCTAACAAACAACTGAAATTATCGCTGTTATTGTGCAAACTGGGGTGTAAATATGGCATTATTTATAGTTTACTATTTTTATTTATAATTTTCATTCATCATTTACCGTTTCAATGTTTATAATTTCATATTTTCTACATTTTCATAATTTAAAAACATTATTTTCAACACAATATTTATGCAATTGTCACCTTTATAGCGCTTTTAACAATACAGATTGTGTCAAATCTGCTGTATTCTCACCTTTAATCTAGGTGGACCTGAAATATCTGTAGAGATTGAGACAGCTGGGATTCATAACAAAAAAATCAATAATGGTTTGAGAACAGTGCTTGATGGTTTAATGGTTACAGCCTGAGGGCATACAGATGTAGAAGCACTCTGTCTTAGGTAACATCAGTAGGGGATGACTGCCGATAGTGCACACGGTTACAGAAATGGTGTAATATGCTTAACACCTCCTCCCACACTTAGCACCATTTCTAAGAGCATGATATTATCTCCACAGGTTAAAAGGGCTTTAACACAGAGGTAGTTCCTGCATATAAATTATACGTGAGTTAAAAGACTACTGTGTTTTACAGTATCAAAATAGGAAAATAGTGTGTCAATGCAAAAGGACAATAGTAAACACTCAATTCTCAGTTAAAAGCAGTTCATCACTGATGTCATCGTCCAGGTCAGTTCAGTTTAAATAGTATCTGTGCAATCAAGGCGACGATATCGCTGGAAATGAAGTGTCCCCAACTAAGCAAGCAAGAGGCGACAGTGGCAAGGAACCAAAACTCCATCGGTGACAGAATGGAGAAAAACACCTTGGGAGAAACCAGGCTCATGGGGGTCAGTTCTCCTCCAGCCATATATATATATATATATATATATAAAATATACATATATATATACATATATATATATATATAATATACATATATTTATATTTGTGTGGCATTAAATAGGATTGTGTCTCCTTTTGCTTAACAGCTGTCAAGACCTTCCTTCACTGTTTGTAGGTCTTATAGACTTTCACTCCAATCAACCAGTTTCAGTATTGATAACCGCATATGTAAAACATTTCAATATTTATAATTTTATGTAAAACATAATTTTCAAAGGATTTCTGCCACTATAATTCTTACGAAATCGCATTTATATAATGTAATTATATAATATAAATATACTTTATATTTGGTATTTGATTTAAATAGCCTATATAAATGCAGAATGTAAACATTGACTGTAAACTAACTTGTACGATGAAATGGATCCAGTGCATGAAATACTACATTCAATAGAACCTGGTAACTTGTTCTTCAGTAACAACTCACAGAAGGTGTAAACAATGCAATGCCATCGCACTCTTCGGAGTTTCTTGCGGAAAACGCCAGTTAAGTTGCGACAGATACTGCTTTTAACTTTTTAGTGAGCCTGGACTTGTCAGAGCCTAATGAGCAAATGAAACAAATGTACGTGTAAACAGGCACGAGGGTTTAGGAGTTCAGTACCTCATTGGGACCCTCCTGCAGCACGTCAAGCAGATTTCCTTTAGACAGGGATGCGATCATTCTTCTGACTTCTCATCAAGGTGAGAGGAGCGCGAGGAGAAAATGTTAACGAGCTTAGTCAGCGAGAGCGTTTTAACCGCATATCGCATGAACTGAGGTAAACAAAGGAAACTACAAAAAAAAACTCAACCAAGGCGATGGCCATATGTGCCAACCCCGTTAGCTCGCTAGACCTGAAACAGGATACGAGGTGGACGCGGATGGGGAGAGGCAATGCGCATGCGTCCGCAGCAGCTGCTCCACGGTCGTTATGGCAACGCTTGAGCTTACGTCGGCTGCTTTCCTTCTCTAGCTTCTGCATTGTGAAATATATTGGTCTGGGACCGTGAAACGCACATTATAGTGCGCACTATAATTATAATTGAAATGACTAATTTTTAGTTAAATGAAAACTTTTGGAACGCAAAGCACAGTAGAGGTGCTCTAGCCTGGATATCACACCCTGTAGTCCCTCCTTGTTTAAAACCAACACCACACTACAATGTGTAAAAATCATGATGTGAAATCTGAAATTCTGTACGCAGTTTACTCTGGCTTTCATTGTGTACAGACACAACACCACATCCTTCCTGTCTGCCTCATGCTTCCTGCATCTGCCTGTACACTTTTTTATATATATATATAAAAAGTTAAACTTATAACAATTAGCTTAATATATAGCTGCACTGAATTATAAAACATTACTACAGAGATAAAAGGCTACCTCTACAATTAGGGCATAATTTGTCTATTATTTTATTTATCTATTTTTCATTAAATGTCTGTGTCTCCCCCTGCTGTAAGAATGGGGAAAACATGATTCTAAATAGCCAATAATAATAATGGAATTGTTATTACTAAAAAAGCATTTATTATATATATATATATATATATATATTTTAATCTTATTAGTGGGTAGCCCAAGCATAGAATAAATATTTTGTATAGTCAAATAAAATTAATGAGCTCTACGGAGTCTGTGGCTTTTTATTTTTTTAAATAAAATGATCTCTTTTGTTGTTCAAACTGTGGTATATATGGCATAATTGATCATTTGCTCTTTTTTCATCTTTTATCATTTTCATTCATTTAAATTTAAAACATTTAATACATTTCTAAGCATTATTTTTACAATTGTAATTTGAACTTTACAGTTCAAATCTTCAGAGACCTCATAAAAATGCACAGTGTGGCTCATATATAGCACAAATTATTTTCACATTCACATTTCAAGCTGAGATCCTTTAGGATTACACCTGTCTTCCACTTCTGAGGCTTTTATGTGATGATCACACTTACAGATTTCTCCACAGATGGTGAATGCAGCATCTTGCTGATCTACACAGTGATAAACGCTTCATTGGTTTTGATTTGTTCATTATTTTAACAGCACGAGAAACGAAACAGTTGATCATGGAAAAATCAAGTCTCTCCCTGGAGATTTTCATCACTTACACTTCAAGACACTATTAGAATTTACTTACGGCTGACTCCGATTGAACATCACAAAAAGAGAAGAAACATAAATATTAAAACCTGAAACTTGTAAAGACAAGCGGCCTCTTAACATTAAAACTAACGTTACTTAGCGTTAGCATTCATAACGTGATCAGAAAGCAGTTCTTAAAGTTTGAGCAACCTACCTTAGGTTTCTCCCGCTTTCTTGACGATATCATTTGTAAGTTTTTGAATCCACATTCATGTAAATATAGTTATACATTTCCACCAGTAAAAACTAAATCGCAGCAGCAGACTGCTGAATTCGCACCGGTCATAGTTTCTATGGTTACTTACCAGAAACAGAAGCACGTGCGCGAAACAGCCATTGGTTTGCTAGTGCTAATTGCTTCCCTGATTGACGTTAGAGTGGCTGCAAATTTAATAGTGCAAGTGTTTTGAATAATCACTGTAGAGATTAAAGGCTAACTTTACCCTTTATTGCAGGGGTGCCCAAACTCGGTCCTGCAGGGCCGGTGTCCTGAAGAGTTTAGCTCCAACCCCAATTAAACACACCTGAACCAGCTAATCAAACTCTTACTAGGCATACTAGAAACTTGAAGGCAGGTGTGTTGAGGCAAGTTGGAGCTAATCTCTGCAGGACACCGGCCCTCCAGGACCGAGTTTGGGCACCCCTGCTTTATTGTATGAGATTATTAAATTATTTTCGTATTAGTGAGCTGTGTCTCCCCCTGCTGTAAAAACGGCAAACTGTAAAGTCAATTTTAATGCAGTCAGAAAACAGAAATATCTATAAAATCTATATTTGGATATCGAATCAAAACTGAATAGTTATTAAAATAAATCCCGAGTGACACATGTTCAGCTGCTGTAGGTTTTGTTTATTGATACAAAAAAACCAAAACAAAACAAATATTTGCACAAGAACAACTATATATAGCCTAGTAACAAAATTTAAAAATATATAAATTGATCAATAATTATAAACCTTATCACCTTCCAATGTAGTGTTTTACAGGAATACAGCATTTAGCACATCAGGCTCACTGCATATTAAACACAATATTGGCAATATGACATGCTAAGTTATATGATAAATGTTTACTACACCTGGAACAGCGTTTGAGTTATCAGTTGATTTGATTATATTTCATATAGTTAAAAAAAAAGCCAGTCTCAAAAAATCTAAAAAAAATACAAGACCAAACAAAAGGATACACAAAAGTTAATACAGAATCCAGTGTCTCCACTCAACCCGGAAAAGTTCATTCAGGCATTTATAAGCACCTTTCAATTATCCTTTTCTTTGCTCATCCATGCAGAGCTCTTACATTGCCCCCCCCCCCACACTCTCTTTTTTTTAAATAAATACTTGTCTAGATATACATCCAAAGTTTCACTTGACTAAAGTCTTATTTCTCATTGCAGACAATTTCTTAGTGCTGCATTCAATGTAGATATATTTGCAAAGACACGTTAGCTTCCAAAAATGCGCTTTAGATCATAGTTATTTTTTTTTTCATTTATATTTCACATTTGTGTAGATATTTAAATCTTCAGATCACAACACAACCTACTGATATTTCAAGGGATATAACTCCACTTGGCACATACACATACACATATTTGGGCACCTTTGCTATTACATAAATAACATAAATTACTTCGATTTTGACAGTGGTGTATACTTAACATGTAAAACTCATCCTGCCCATTTATTTGTTTTTTAACTAGAGCTGTTAAAGCACAAATTGAAAGCTCCAAGCACCACGGAACTGAGCAGAAATTTACATTTTTTGCTGCGTGTCTGTTCATCATCAGCTTTTTAATATATTGTCGGGAGGTTATGGACGTTTATGCTGGGTTTGGACTGACCAGACATTTGAAATGACCGGTAAAACAATGACAGTGAGTAATCGAGATCTTTTAGGTTTTATCATGTGGCTGTTTGATTGATAAATATGCAAATACATAAAACACAAAGCTATCAAAATATAGAATATGTACACGTTGCATATCCTGTCAAAATTCTCCTATAATAACTGAGAAAATTGAAAAGATTGAACTTTTTAAGCCAGATATCTTGTTTAGAAGATCATCTGTGTATTAGAGATGGACTAAATGGTTTAGATGGATCTCAGTGTCATCTACATTCAGCTCAAGAAAGCAAGGAATCAGAGATATGCATCAGACGAAGATTTTTAAATGAAAACATTCCTATATAACCACAATTATGATACATTCGTAAACTTGCCATTTTAATCGTACTTTTTGAATAATTAAAACATCATTCCTCCATCAGTATGAGTATTCAAGTTTAAAAATGAGAGATTTCAAGAATTTTTTGAAAAAAATTGTACAGTTATGATTATCACTCTGTGAAAACTTTTTATTAGGTTAACACACTTTATCATGCAACAATAAATGTAGGCAGTAATGAGCACCTTGTGACTAACACTGACTTTTTAGTTAGTATTACTAGTAATGGTGGAGAACTAGCCACCGGTATAATAAAAAGAAGAATGTACTGAAGCAAATGTCAAGCCAGAAAAGGTTTCTTGGCAGTTTGGAAGTACTGGTTCTGCCTAAAATATGGAGTCAAGACCAAAGTATGAGATTAGGGCTGTGCAATATATCGAAATTATCGAAATATTGCAAATGTACATATCGCAATACTCATATCGCTACAGCTTGCAATATTTGGGGCCATGAACAAAAGACAAAGAGAAAATCACTCACTGTTGTAATGTTAAAATGATATTTTTATGTAATGCTCGAGTAAAACACTACCGTTCACTTTCATAAGTTGTTGTAGGGGTGCTTTCTTATTAGAATCAGAATCAGAATGAGATTTATTCACCACTTAAGTGTGCGCAAACACAAGGAATTTGTTGTGGTTTTACAGGAACTCTTGGTACATACATACAAATAACCATATATATATGACACAAGATAGTTATAGAAGTTCACAGAACTGACTCAGCAACAGCTGAGTAAAACTGTTTCATCTGAGCATGTGGCACTTTAAGCATTATCGTATCGCATATCGAATATCGCATTATTTAATGAGTTATCGCATATCGCATTTTTCTTCAATATCGCACAGCCCTATATGAGATAGTGGAATGGTCTGTGATCTACAAGCGCACAGAGCCTGGAAAATAGCACCTACTCACTAGAAACAAGTACCAATACTGGTAGTGTGTGTAATTATTCAAAAGAATAGTGAAAATGTGAAATGTGCTTATAATGTACTCATCCTCAGGCCATCCAATTTGTCCAATGAGTTTGTTTCTTCATAGGAACAGATTTGAAGAAATTTATCATTACATCACTTGCTCACCAATGGATCCTCTGCAGTGAATGGGTGCCGTCAGAATGAGAGTTCAAACAGCTGATAAAAACATCACAATAATCTACAACACAACTCCAGTCGATCAGTTAACATCTTCTGAAGAAAAGTGGTGTGTTTGTAAAAAAAACAAATCACTCATTTGTAAGACTGGGGTCTTGTGGATTACTTCTGAATTATTGTGATTATTGTCATCAGCTGTTTGGACTCTCATTCTGACGGCACCCATTCACTGCAGAGGATCTATTAGTGAACAAGTGATGTGATGCTAAATTTCTCCAAATCTGTTCCTATGAAGAAACAAACTCATCTACACCTTGGATGGCCTGAGGGTCAGCAAATTTTCATTTTTGGGTGAACTATTTCTTTAACCAA